TATTCATCAATTTCATACTTCAGATTTCAGAATTTCTTCAAGTTCTCTTCTTCCTATTTTCGCCACCTTTTCTCTCTCCTAGAGAAATCGTGTTATTCGCTAGGTGCTAGCGAATGCCCGGTGCTTGCATAGCCAGCTCCGGTTCTCATTGCTTCCACGTTGCGTCACAAGTGCAGCCCGCCTGAGAAAGTACTAGCCGTTGGGACCCTTGGGGGACCCCCCAACAGCTAGTTTCAGCTTTTTTAGGGGGTTTTTACAGAAATACCCCCTCAATCAACAGCTATAAGCTTATAAACAGCTATATAAGGGGGTATTTATGTATTTTGGCTTTGGGGGGATAAAAAGACAATAATGCCCCTCCAACAGCTATATCCTATGTAACAGCTAGTTCGAAACTTTGGGGGCATTTGGGTAAAGTGATAAATGACTTTATAATGACCAAAATACCCTTCTAACAACTAAAAAATGACTAGTTTTTAAGGTATTTTGGGCAATTGAATTATTTTCAATTCTTATAAATAGCCATATCCTCCACCAGTCTCATCACACCAATTCAGCAATTTTCTTCTCAATTCTCATACTCTCTCAGTTTCTTATATCATATAGTCTCGTACTACACTTAGCAATTTAGGAGGAGGCTTTGAGGCTTCAACCATTGAAATCAAGTTGAGATTCTGTACCGGTAATCTGACCATCTGGGTAAGTGCAATTAAATTATTTTTTATTTTTTTAGAATTAAAAAAAGGCTGGCTCCTCCTCCTGAAACCAATTCCCCAACATAAAGTTCACTAGCCCGATTTGGAAAATATTTAAAATAGAGGAGATTGAGGGGAAGGGAAAAAGAGTCGTTTGCCAAAAATGTAGGATTGCCTTTAGCTTTAGTAGCAAAGGTGGTACTGGTCACTTGGATAGACATTTGTTCTTCCATGAAACAAGAAAAAGACATCTACTTTAAAGATTTGTTGGATGCTGAGGATAAATTACATGACAAAGGAGGGCATGACACTACTACACCTAATGAAGCATATGATTAAAGCCAATGAGATGGAGTAATTTTTTCAATTTTATTTAAATTATTTATTATTTTTTCAACAATGTATTTTTTATTTTTAATTTGTAATTTTTTATATTTTAAATGAAATAAAATTCCTATATTTTTCCAATTTGTTGTCCATTTTGTATTTTGGTAAGTATTTTTTTTTCATTTCTTTGTTAGATTTTTTTTTTCAATTTGTTCCCAAAGGAAAGTTAAGTATTTTAGTTTTACTTAGAAAAAATTAAAAAACAACAAAAAAGTCGGGGCCTTTTTGGCCCGGTTCAGCCCAGGCCCAAGGCCCAACCCATAGCCCCACTTGGCACAGCCCAAGCCCATGGCACAGCACAGGCCTGTGCAGGATCGGGCCGTGGGCTGTTCTGGGCCGACCCCCCAAATTATCCCATGGGAGGGAAGCATGGCCCAGCTCGGCTGCATGTGGGCCGTGTCGTGCCGGCCCAGTATGGCTCGATTTACACCTCTATCTCTGGGATGACTGAATTCCTGTACTATTTTCAGCTTCTTTAATGAATCTTTTTCGTTATTCATAAAATAGGTTCAAAGTATTGATAGACCCCGATATGGAGGAAGAGGTGAATTACTGTATTGGTACTTCAAACCCCACGTTTCATTTTTTTTTTACCAAAACCTGTTCAGGGGGATGGCCTAAGGCCTGCCTACCCCCTGAAATGGGTTTTGATCCCAAAGGATCCTAAAATCGTGTATCAGTGACATGCTGATATGATATGATGCACCTGGTATGGGGTGTATCATGTTGAAGATTTGAGCCTTGTTTCTAGTTTGTGTTTTTTTTTTCCTTGTATCTTTTGAATATTATCATCAGCATACAAAACATTTTGCATGTTTTTCCTTTTACTCCCTGGAGAAGCCAAGAGGATATATTTTGAGCTGCAACGCAAACTGGTTAACTGTTGCAATCAAGGTTTTAAAAACTGACCTGGAAATGAAACCACTTTGACCACCGGTTTCTGGGTCAGCAGTTCGATCATCCGGGTCAAACTGTTTGGGTGGGTCGATCTATTTGACCTATTAGGGTAAGAGATACATATATGTTTCATTACTCATTTTATGAGAAAAGAGAGAAGTGGCTGTTGGCTGGGAAAGGAAAGAAGAGAAAGAAAGGAAAGGGAAGAAAGAAAAGGAAAGAAAAGAAAGGAAGAAGAGGAGGAAGAGAGCAGTGGCGGTGGCGATGACAACAGTAGCAGAGCAACGGCGACGGTAACAGAGCAGTGGCAACCGTAGATCTGATCTCAGATCTTGCAAATTTCTCACTCTCTCTCTCTCTCTCTCTCTCACACACACAGTAGTGATTTCAGATCTGAGATCTAATTTCAATCCTTCCCTCATTTCTCGATCTCCTCTCTGTAAATGCTCTCTTAAAAAAATAAAAATTAAATAACAAATATTTTATTAAATTGTAAACCACTGCCCAGGTTGAACAATTTAGTGGTTTTTTGACTAATTCAACGGTTTTTTAAAAAAGGTGGTTTAGTTGAAAACCGGACCCGGAGATATGACTGTTTTCTGGGTCAAACGGTTTGACTGTCTAGGCCGGTCCGGTTTTCGAAACAATGGTTGCAACTTTCTACTGTATTGTCTATTTTGCTTATGCTTAAGATTGGAAATTTTGTAGAACCTACAGTAAATCTGACCATAAATAGAGTAGCAAAACCAACCCAAACATGAAGGGTCGTTTGGGTCTGTTTATCGGTTTAATCGGTCAGTTTATCAATGCAACTTGGTCCAATGCATTCCAGAACTGGAAGTCTCAGTTGAAGTTTGATTTTTGGGCCATTACACACCATGATTAAGGCTGCATTTGCCATTTGGCATTCATAGATACTCATAAGACCAATGGGCTTGTGATGCAATCTGAAATCTGAATGATTCAACTTTTAACATGCATTAAAATTTAAAAATATTAAATAAAAAAACAAAATACTAACCTGTGAATGTGATGCTTGAGTCTTGAGAAGTTGAGACTTGAGAGAATGAGAGTTGAGAAGAGGGGAGGAAAACAACTGTACTTTTAGTTATAATGGTGGTGGATGAAACTTGAAAGAAGCCTTGAGAGTGCTTGAGGCGGATCAGGCGAGGATGAAGGTTGGAATTTAGAAGAGCCAAAGAGAAATCAAGATTCAAAACTCTAGGACTCCTATTTGGTGGAAAAGCATGCCTTAGAGAGTAGAACCTCTCTTTGACTCTTTCCAGAATTGCAAGACACCAACGTGTACACTCTCCAAGACTCCATTGACTCAAATTATGTCTTTTCCCCCATATTCAATGTTTCCTATTTGGTGTAAAGTTTCCAACTCAAAAAAGAAAAACAATCCCAAAGACAAAATTAATTCCCATTTAGCTAATATTTTATTGTTTTTTTTTATGTTAAAGATAAGTAGCTAATTAGAAAGTAGAAACTAGGATAGGGAATTAGGGATTACTGGATTAGGGAAGACTAAAAAGTTAGAAAGTAGCTAACTCGGTTCAGTTTCGGTTTTCACACATGAAAACCGAAACCAAACTGAATTATTGGTTTATTTACCTACACAAACCGAAACCAACTGGTTGTGTTGAAAAACCAACCAAATCAGGTTGGGTCAGGCCGGTTTGGTTGGTTTGAAATCAAATATGAAAATCCCTACTTCATACATTAAAACCACACCCCAAAAACACAGTTTTGGGGTGTTGCATCACTTTGTCAATTTCTAAAATTATCCATGCATTTCTTCATTGATCCACAGTAAAAAGAATCAACAGGGAATGATATCATAATGGGCACCTATTGGTAAAAGATTTAGTGGGCGATTTCTTTGGTTTAATCGGTTCTAACTGCCTTTTAAAATGCTTTGCTTGTTGGTTACTGCACAAATGATCGCACTACTTGCCCTATGTAATTAGCTTTCGTTAGCATTTTCAATGTTTTACTAAGGTGTGTTTCATAATTCCTGCAGACTACATTGAAAAGAAAGCATTATGTCTTCAACTGGAGAAGCTTTTCCTACTTACAACCCGAACTGCTGATTGGTATGTGGTCCCTAACAATTACAAATTTAAGTGATTATATGTTATGTCTGGTTATGACTTATGAGGCACCTTTTGTTTGGTCATGAGGCAAATTAGATTCTTAAATTTTTTTTTTGTCTGATTTTTTTTTTCTCCAGAACAAATTAAACACTGACCGTATGTTTATAAATCCTGTTTTTTTTACCAGCAACAGAAGAAGATTCTTTTAATTCTACCTCTTTTAATTAATAAAGTCTTCTTCTGTTGCTGATAAAAAAATCAGGATTCATACACATACTGTTGGTGTTTAATTTGTTCTGGAGAAAAAAAAACATTTCAAAATGCCCAGGAAAAGCTATTATTAACCTCTTTCAGGAAAAAGCTAAATACAATACACTTTGTTTCCAGTTTCAATACGAAGTTGTTCAACTTTTTATCTCATTATTACTGTTACCATGACACGTTCACGTTTGCTAATAATCAATTTTCCATCTATGCAGACGCTAAATGCATTCTAAGATGACAGCTTAAAAAATTCTTGACATCATCATTTTTATTAGGGAAAATTCCCGTACCCTGTACTTTGGGCCTATTGCCACTTTGGTCCCCGAACTTTAAAATGCGACAATTCAGTACCCAAACTTTCAAAACATGATCCAGTACCTGTTGTTAACTAGCTGTTAAGTGGCATTTGAAAAGGACACAAATGCCCTTCGAGTGTCATTGAATTTTCTTTATCAACCATCCAAACGTTGACAAAAAAGTAAGTCTCAAATCCTTGCCTCTTCATTCAAGAAAGTTGGGGTCACGAGAATACCCACTCAAACGTGACCCCAATTTTCTTGAATGGAGAAGACAAAGATTTGGGACTGTTAATTTTTTGTCAATGTTTAGATGGTTGATAAAGAAAATTAAATAACACTTGAAGGGCATTTGCATCTTTTTCAAATGCCACTTAATGGCTGGAACAGATAGTTAACGGCAGGTACTGGATTGTCACGTTTTAAAAGTTTGGGTACTGTTGCATTTTATAGTTCGGGGACTAAAGTACAGGGTACTAATAGGGAATTTTCCCTTTTCATTACATAAAGATATAGAATAATCTGATATTCAACGCATAGGGTGTTTCTCAATTTCTAAAAAGGATTTTTAATCCCTGACTCCATAGCCAGATCATCTTAGGATGGTCCTTTTGTCAATGCATGTTCCTATCACGCTATAATTGTTAATATACAAACTTTAGTGAATCATACATTCTAAATGATGCTTCGTCTGACATGAATGGTTGTAGTTGAACCTCAGTCAAACATATTTGGCGTCAATGGATATTACTCTGTCGTTCAAAGAATTGGTGCTATTATCTTCTTATTGCCCATTTGTGATTATCAATGTTATTCTGAGGCACTTGACTGATGGAAAAACTATTTTACAGGTTTGTGAGGCGTGGTTTCTCCGAGTGTTCCATCGAGTCCATCCCTGAAGCAAGGAGGGGGAAGATAAATCTTTCCCGTGGATCGAAGTACTACATAAAGAAGTTGCAGCCAGACATGAGTGGAATTACTGTTAATAGGGTATTGAATTGAACCAAGTCTGGTTACTGTATGTTATATTCCTTTTTTCCTGTTGTTTACAAGAGCTGCAAGGTTCAAAGCTCATTCAAAGTTTCTTGCTGCAGGTGGTTACAACCACCTAAAAAGAGGCAGTATTGCCTCCATTTCGTCTGCTTCTAATATTATTGCAGTTGGAACTTGTCTTTTTTTTTTTTTTTTTTTGGGGGGGGGGGTATTTTTTCTTTAAAGCTCACCATAATTTTTTTCCTTTTTCTATTAAACTCATCATAACTTTTCAAAACCTCGAAAGAGCCCTCCTTATCAGTTATCAGTTAGTTTTATTGTTCAAAACTCACATTCCGTGTAGTTTTTTGGTGTCATCATGAATAACGAGTTCAGCTTCAGTCAGGGCAAAGCCCATTTGAGCAGCCTTTACAGTCTTGCATTGAGAATATCTCCCTGCTTATGTGCTTTATTTTATAGGGAAATATTCCCACAAAAGGCAGTTGGAACAGTATGGATACGGGTTTGCCCTGATGGAAATCGATCTCGAATTATATTTTAAGCTTGACAAGCCATTCAGGGGCAATTTGACATGGTAAAATATTCAAATGCTTATGTGGACAATTTTTAATAATCACTAATAGTGATTAGTGAACTAAGGACTTAAGGAGGGGCTCTCTGGAGGTTTTGAAAAATCACGGGGAGTTGAGAAAAATGCAAAAAAGTTATGGTGAGCAAATTTTTTTTTTTTGATCGTGCTTTTTTTGATGAGATAACCTGAGAATTCGTTGATTTACGAAGAAACAGCGGTTCAGCTACAACAGCCAGCAGACTAAACCTTGCTCATGAAGTCCTTCCCTTGCCAAAGCGTGAGAAGCGGTATTAAACTTATAATATTTTTATATTTTACATTTTGTGCTCAAATGGCATAGGCAATGATACAGTGTAACATTCCTTTTATTACTTCATAAATCAACATGCATTTGTTAGGAAATAATTCTCTTTAAAAAAGGACTTGAAAGATTTCAAAGACTTCAAAGACTTGAAGGGTGAATACTTAGAGCAATTGAAATTATGACTTCATCTTGTAAACAAGTAACACTAGTCGAACATAGGTATGACTTCTTCTAGAATAGAAATAGAGGATCAGATCAGCGCCTTCTTTTTTCGGATAGGAAATAATTCTCTCTTCTTTAAGTTTCTGAATTTTTTTCCTTTCATTTTTGGAAGAAAAATAGGGACTCCGCTCTTGTTCTTCATTTGATTCTTTTCTTCAATGTTTTAAAAACTGACTCGGAACCAGAGCTGTTTTGGCCATCCGTTTTTGGGTCAGCAGTTCGATCATCTGGCTTGAATGGCCCATTTTAATTTAAAAAATAAAAAATAATTAAAATAAATAATGATAAAAAACTGTTGTCTGGGTCGACGGTTCAACCACCTAGGCCAATGGGTAGCTGACCAAGTCAACGATTTTTGGCCAAGGAACAAGTTAAGGGTGAAACAGAATCGGTTGCCTGGACGGTTCCTGGGCTGAACAGTCTGATCATCCAAATCATTGGTGGTTCAAAAACATTGCTTTTCTTTATGTTTTTTGAAGCAATAATAGGGACGTTCATCATTTTCAAGTATTTTTTTCTTGCATTTTTTTTAAACAAGAACAAGGGCTTCACCTCTTCATCATTCTTTTCTGAGATGAACAGGAGCTTTGCCCTTTTTTCATTATTTTCTTCTTTTTCTATGGCAAAAGCAGAGTTAGCCCCTTAGGCCCTGTTTGGTAATGCTCCCACCTGTTCTTGTTCTTTTAGAAATTATTGTGCTAGAACAAGAATTTTATTTCTTACACTTCGGGAGTAATAGAGACGTTTGGCAAAATGTTTTTTGAGAACGCATTTTTGTTCTTCAGAAACAGAAATGACGTTTGTAAAAAGAATTCAGGTTAAAAGAAACCCTACTCAATCGACATAATAAAAACCCCACATTTCAAGATATCCAACAAAGTTAAAAAAAAAATATGAACAAATGAATTCAGATAATGGAAATTCAGCATCCATTAGAGATGATTGTTGTCAAAGATTAGTTTGAGTAATCTATTTAGAGCAACTATGAGTATAACAAAGCAATGATGAGTAAACCAGGTATGGCGAGAAGGAATATTGATGCAGTAGGAGCCAAGGGAGTTCCCTCCTCTGAGATGTGCAGTGGCAATGAGGTAGTATTGAATGAATAAAGGTGATTGTTTAGGGCTTGCTATCATTTTGCATGAAATAACCAAATATACCCCTTCTCTCACATGGGAATCGATGGCACATGTTCATTAATATGCATTAATGTTGTGAGAACCGCGCATTCTCTGGGAACACGTTCTTTGAGAGTGTCAATTTGTCACCCCCAAAGAACGTGTTCTTTTGAGTGTTGTTCTCACGTGAGAATAGTTTGTTTGTTTCTTTTTTTTTTTTTGTACCAAGCACATTCCTGCTCCACAAAAACATTGGGAATGATAGAAACGTTCTCATAGAATGTTGCCAAATAAAAATGGTTATTTTTGAGATAATAGCCTCAAAACATTATGAAGAAAACATTTATTTATGAGATACAAACCTTGAAACACTAGGAAAAGGAATTTTAGGAGACTAAGCATTGTGCTATCACCTAGGTTCGCTTTGGTGCATTGAAAACTATGAAAGAGACTGAGGAACATGTAAGTTTATTAAGGGGGTAACTTTTATGGGAGATGAAATAATACCCGAGGCAAAAATAATTTTGTAGATGAGGTTTATTTGACAAATCATAAATACGGCATGATAAATTTCTAACCCATCGGCTCAGTTTGGAAGGAGTACAAATACAAATATGTAGAGTGCTATTTTGTATTATTTTTATATGTATTTATACTGTACATATTTGTATTTGTACGCTTGTCATCAAATCCATTCCATCTCGATTTTCCATTTCTACTCCAATTAAACAAACCAATCATTTGGTTTGACCTTTTGAGTTGTTTGATTAAAAATACAAGAAAAATTGAAAAAATTAATAAGCAAGTCCAGATTACCCTTGAAAGATATTTATATCAAAATAAGCTTAAAAGTGAAAATAGGATTATAGCTTATAACAGAACACGTGTATTTAAGTAAACTTTTTTAAGAATCCTGTAGTGTAAACCAGTTCGCTCAGTTTTGATTGTACACAAGCTAAAGACCTATTTTTTATTATTTTTTAAATGAAAAAAATCTATGATCCTAGAAAGATATGATATTAAAAGGGATTTGATCAATCAAAACCCCTACGGATTTTGTTAAAAATCTACCTAATTAGTTACCATTTTTATGATGTCGGTTGATTGGTGACAATTTTTTCAGGTATCATATCTTTCTGCCATCATAGTTGAATCCCTATTAAAATTTTCTTAGGCAAAGCGGGGTAACCTTTTTCCCAACCCCACTCCTCCCCCGATGAAACTGGTCTTTGATCCTCTAATTTCCACCAGTTCTCCCCTACAACCAGCCAAAGACTTTATCAGTAATCTCTTTGATGAACATCCTGTATTGCATGCTTTTATCGGAAAGGGCACAGCAAGACTAGAGATGTGTACAGTGTTCAAAGCGAAAGGAAGAATTTAATGGAGCTTAAGTTTGAACTTCAAAGATTAAAGTTGACTCGTCAACTCAAACTGTACTCAACCGAGATTTATTACAATTACTTAGACATGCGAATACCATTTTGCCATTCCATTATGGTGGAATATATCTTCTGTTAAATGGTAAGCCCCCGGGCATTTTATAGCCACTTCAGCCCTTCTCTACCAAGAGTCAAGATCCAAAGGTCAATAATCCCATTTAAGAGGTCCAAAGAGATATATCTACATGATCATCAAATCATAAGAATTTATATTTTGAAGGGATCAATTTGAACAGTTGGTTAGGTTCTGTTAATTTTATTGAATTTACGTTTCATGCGACCACCGGTCCAGGACAAATCCGAGACCCCCAGTGATTTTGGAACATGCCAGTGTTTTAATCCGACACCAACTTGACGTGATATTGTCTTTTTCACATCTCTGGGGTCTCGGGTTTATCCTGTGAACGTGGTCACAGGAAATGTGCTCTGAATTTTATATGCAAAGCAGATGGTTAGAATCTGAAAACACAATTAGTGGTGTAGTTCTTTCCTAGGACCCTTCCAATTGTAGCGTTAAATGCCTGTGGATGTATACAACAGGAGAGAGGACTGAGAAAATAGGAGACTAGATTTATCATTTTTGCTCACTTATCCTCTTCTGTAGTTCTGCTATGAAGCATTGTCCGAAGAGAAAGAATGGAGACCAACTGGAAGTCTGAAACATTGAGACAAGTCTGCTGGAAGCCAGGATCCAAGTTTGGACGGACTCACTTCATTTTAAGCTCGGCTAATATATTTTTTGAAGTCAGTTACTTACATAACAAAACAAATTATACAAGTTTGGGATGTTAATTGTGGCCAGTGAATATCATATTGCGGATTTAATTAGCATATAAATTTGGGATGTAGGACACAATGGAACTCATTATGGAATTCTAACTTAACCCAGCTTAGCCTGAAAACCTTAGTAAACCTAGAATGTAGACCGAGATGAGCCGGGCTAGCATCTGCGCATCAACAACCAGCTAATAGAGGAGGGGGGGGTGATTGGTGATCATTATCTAATGTTGGTCCCTGCTATCCGGGGTCTTTGGAATGTAAACCAGATATGGACCTTACCCAAGTGGCCCCTCTCAGAATTGAAAGTTTGAAACGTCTTCTCATGCTTGTCAGGCGTCAGCCCGATACATTATCAGTAAATGTAAATGGCCTCTTAACAACAACCGGCTAATCGCAACCATTTTTATCTGATGAGATATGCTCTCTCCCTCCCCTTGCGGACCCCCTCTCTGGCTCTCTCTCTGGGCCATGGTCAGATCTGCAAGGGAATGGAACAAATCAGGTGCCTTCTGATTTCGTCCCTTTCAAATGGAAACGACCAACTGAACTGACTACTCCCTATTCTCTCTATAATCAGTGGAGCGCTATATCATCAAACAAAGATTCACCCGGCATTGTCCAGTGATGTGGCTGGACAGGAGACGTCCAGTCACATCACCCAACGTTGGATGAGATGGATATTAAGAGGCGAGAAATTTGATCGGGGTTAGAATCGTAAATTCGATATCCCACAACCAAATAGTCCAAACTCGAAACAAAGTATCCCTTGTAAGCCAATATGGGTAACCAAACAAGGATGCCCAACCAACCAACACGTGTAAAACAAAAGTGCCTTGGTGTTGGCGCCAATTCACACAGTTCACAGAGGATTTATATGAATGAACGTCAAATGTCAAGCCACCCTCCCATGCTTATGTGCCCTATGACATGCATGGAGTCCTCAAAAGAAACGGTCCTATCCAAGCGCAGCTGTTGCCCTTCCATCAGCCCCACCAACGTGTCATCCACTCCAACACTCCCTACCACGTACTCAGCGCCCAGACCCGCGTGCCACCTTCTCCTTCATCATCCTTTCTAGTTGCCCTCATCTTTGGCATACCTCGATGGCTAAGCTAAAAGGACCAACTCCACCCCTTATCCCAGAACCCTCTCGCCTCCTCTCTCCCCCTCCCTGTCTGGCTCCCTCTCCCAGTAATTCTAGTTTTCGTTTTCGACCCTTCTCCTCCCCTCATGACTCACAACTTGGTGGGCCTGCTCAGGCATCATCAAGAGAGCGGAATGAAGGAAACCATGATCATGAACTCCCTAAACATTTATTCCTCTTCCTCTAAAACTGATGAGATCATGTCAAGGTATAGACCCATTGCTCCCAAGCCTCAGATTCCCATGCATCCCATACTAGAGAGCCCAACGGCACCCAAAAACTTCTCATCCCATCTACGAGCTAGGCCTACCGTGTCCAGAAAGAGGAGCAGAACCGGAATCTCACCTGCAACCAACAAGAGAACAAGGGCGCATCTCCGAGGGTTCTCTTCTCTTTATCATACTGCATCCCTCGCCAAGAACACCCTACTCGGTCTATCCTTGCAGGGTTTTGCTCATGGGTTTCTCCGGTTTCCCATTCCTACTCCAGGTTTCGGCCCAAGTCCTAGTATGGAGGAGCCAACCGCAAAGCCTTCCAATCCAGTCACCCTTCCTCTTCTCCCATGTCCCTCTCCAGTTCCTGTTGCAGCCCAATCGGTACCAGAAATGGATAGCACAAACCCCTACTGCTCTCAGAATGAAGAAAAGCTTTTGGACTTGAACTCCAGGATTGAAATACCGGAGGAAAAGGACCTGTTGCAAAAGCTGCAGGAACCCCCTAATGATCTGCTGCGGAGGATGCAGGAACCACCCAGCTGCCGAAGCGTTATAACACCTCAGCCTGTGAGACCCATAGGGTCGAGCATCAGCGTTGTGTTCATTAGTGAGAATCCCACCCCAACTTTCAACATGCACACCTCCAAGAGACCAGAGGAGGTCGAGGAAGAAGTGGAGTCCGAAGCCTTACCAGCTGTTGTCTCCGATTCTAACCACAAGGTTAGACTGGCAAATTCTGCGTACAAGGAGATGGTGGGGCAGCCAGAGTGCCCGTGGCTTGATGCAACCTATGATGGACGATTAAGGGGCAGTGCATGCAAGAGGATCAGCGGGGAGGTGATGTTGGACATTCCAGGTTTAAAAGTACCGGTTTCTTCAAATGGGTTCTCCTGCAGGGTGACGATAGAGTGGGGAAGCAACGGGAAAAAGTGTTCAATCAATGCTCCTTGTGATGTAATCAGACTGTCCTGCGAGTCCAAGGACTATTTGTTCACATGGAAGTTCCATACCAGTGAGGCTTCAAAGTCCAGTTTTAACGCTTAAGAGTCTTTCGTTTCGTTGTATATAGCATAAAGAGAGTGTAATATAAATGCACCTTACTATAGAAATAATGGAAATGAAGCGATAGTACATTTCATCAGTTTGGTTTTCTTATTAGAAGGGTAAATCTTCACTTGTGATAAGAGGAAAGATCGGATCAATAGAAAAACAGATAACAAAGATATGCCGAGCCTCGTTAAATCACCTTTCGCAACTTGAGAACGGGATGGGAAGATGAATTCAGTTTTACTCACTCTTGGGTGGGCCCTTCCACTTGAAGTTGTCCGCATATGCCTTGGGCTGTAGGAAAGAAAAAAAAAAAAAGACATCAATAAAATGAAACCACATACATTGTGCAGTAGCCAAAAATAAAATATAAACACTGATCGAGAAGAGAGCTAAAACATAACATGAGTGAAAAAGAAATAGAAAATGTAATGTAGCCAAACATTCTAGGACATCAATTGGTTCAATTCATGTGGTCAAGTGCACGAATAATATCCTGGTCCCACTACAAAACACAGACCTGCTCAAGTGCTAGTCTTTAGCTATATGGTTGTAGCGTGCTGGGCAACACAAATGGCACCCCGATCCCACTCCAAAACAGAGACATGCACAAGTGCTAATCTTAGAGGAATGGGAGTGACATTACAGTGATCGCCTCGCACAATCATAAGTCACACGGAATTTGTAGATCAAGTTAATTGTTACCATACTCATAAAAAAAAAAAGTCAATTGTTATATAATAATATCAAAAGGGAAACAACAGACAGCTGGTTGTCCGAAGTGCATATCTGGCAATGCGGCTAATATTGTCTAGAAAACTGTGGTGATAATCCATTACATAGCAACATTAACTATTTGTTTAAAACATGATAATTACAATTTAATCAATGATGCCTTGTCATAACTCATAAGGCACCACAGCATGCATACTGCCATTAAAAACTTATGTAAGCACTGTACAGTAGCCTTGTTATGCTTTTGCGAAGCTAAATTTTTTACCCTCTCAAGACCTTTTTTTTGGTTAGTCTCAAGATCAATACAGCCACATTCTGCAACTCAGCTGTAGAGCATACTGCATATAGCTCAGATCCAATAAATTATACCAATAAAAACGCACAGTATACAGAAGCCATAACCATTTTGAAAACTTCGGAGAAACTTGATGATGTCTAATGAACAAAGGCAATGGGAAACAAAAAACAACTACCAATCCTTAAATTAAGCCTCTGCTTGGATAAGCTTTTGCTTTTGAGATTGGGCTATGGGAAACAAAATGAGCCAAAAAAAGTGTTTTGAGCGTTTGGTGAGAGTTGCTTTTAAAAACTTAACAATCTAAAGCCAAAACACTTTTAAGCTCCAAAGGACAAAACCTAAAATTGGGGTTTCCTGAAGCTTATCCAAACACAACTTAAATTTTTAGTTCTGATTGTTCTATGGAATGGAACTCTGATGAAAAAATAAATCAATTTTAACATGTTTACCAATTAAAGATGAGTTCTCAACAAATTTGACAGGATCTTGATCAGATTAAATGTTTCCAATTCAACTTTTATGACTGGAATATCTAGGTTCTAGAAGGAAACCTTACCAAAATATCATTTACAGCAAACAATGGCAGAGTAGCAAAAAAAAATGCATTAGCACATTTTGGCCACAGTTTTTAAAATCTTTTCAAGCTAACTCAAAATGATACAATATTACTAGAATTTTTTTTTATCAGTAAAAGTGATTTTATTAAGAAAATGATATGAGAATTAGTACAGAAATTGAGTAGCCTATCCCATTATCCTTTAAAATTCCACCTAAGATTTTGCTTTACATCCTTACAACTGAGCCCAAAAAGAATGTTCCCTATTAGCCCCTTGCTTAGCTAGCTGGTCCGCAAACCCATTTGCTGCTCTTGGAGTCCACTGAAATAATATTACTAGAAATTTCCATCAATACAAATTACAAAGTTATGGTCTTCAAAAGTTTTTTGGAATCTGGGAACAGGTTTACCACTAGAAAACCTCAGAACTATTGACTGGTGTTTATTATAGCTCTCTGATCATTTTATTTTTGAAAATTAGCCACTTCCCATTGCATAGATTATCATAAGCCTGCCAGTACTATGCCCTTCAGTGCCATTATCAGTCTATTGTTTGGCCTCCACTTCTATGAAAATGATGCAGGTAAAAAACCATTAAGTTGGGCAACTCAGAATAACCAAGGTTCACTTACCCTCTTTTCACTCTAAACTCTACCCAAATCAACATCACTTTCTACAGGGTTTTATAAGTACTATCTGCCAAACTAAGTACTTCTACAGGATTTTATTAGCAACACTTTCATATCTATTGTTGATTTCATTAAACAGTGGAGTTTGTTGAATCTAATCTTCTCCTGACCTAAAGTCTTCACTTACTAGCTGCTTCATCTCATCACTATTCACAAGTTCTAACTCTGCCACTGTCAAAGCTTTTTCTTGCATTGTTGGTTTGATGCCTAGAAAAGGGAGATTGCTCTATCAGGTTGGCATGGAACACTTCAATAAAAATTTCACATTAATCCTTCCTCTTAAACAGAAGCATGGTCTATCCTCAACATGATTAGGACTGATAACTAATTACAAGGTGAAGGTCAATGACAAAAGTTCATATAACAGGAAGAAAAAAAGACACATGTGCACTTCATCTATATGCTGCAAGGACTCTGTAGGGCAGGCAACATGATACAAGATATTTTGGATTTACATTTCACATACAAGATTACAAGGATGGAATTGAAAAATTGTAATCCCAGAATGTAAATCCTGTAAAACCTTGGGGTGTTCTTCAATTCTTAGGCCTACCATGCATTGTTTCCTAATCCTCAACTTGTGATTATATTACCGAATCTAATAACTAATCAATCTAAAATGGAACTTCCAGTAGAAAAGCTAATATGATACAAAAGCCAGTGTACAAAGAATATCAAACCTTTAGCAGAGGTGTATGACGCTTTTTAACCTGCAAAAAAGTTGACAAGGTCATGTCAAGTATGTGTAACATGTGAAGAATATAGGGGTTTAATTGCAAAATATGGTCATCAGGAAAATCAGATAGGAAGGAGAAAAAAATGAAGTGGCATCAACCTTCTTCACATTCTAAGCTAATGATCAAGACAAGCTAACATATAACAACAATAATAATCATAATTATAACTAAAAATGCACAATGAGAATAGGAGCAAAAAAAAATACAGCCAAACCACTTCATTCTTTAACAAGGTTTTGAACTTCAAGCCCATCCAAATTCCAAAGGATGTGTGGAAAAAGGAAATTGTACCAAAATAAACCCCCAGATGCTCCACCACTTTATTCAATGTTTCCAACTACTTAGCAAAACCAATTTTTTTAAAAAGTCAATTTCTGCCTAGTTTTAAAGATTTAAATGAAGAATATCTCATAGTGAGAGTTCTCTTCAAACTAATTCAGGAGGTGCACTTATGTGCATAAACATCACTTTTTTTGGGGCATTCAGTGCTATGCACCATTAATAACTTCCCCCTGACCCCTTTTTCCCCAAAGTGCTGGTTGCGGGATTTGATTCCGCATCGATGCTGGAACAAACCAGCTAACAAACCACTGAAAATGATGGCTGGTCCTCAGGCACTATTGGCATTGAGCTATGGACTATGATGGAATTTTCCTTCTTTCTACACATAAAAAGATAAATAACCATATCATTTTTCTTGTTTTTTGATCAGTAGCTATGGAAATTCTATTTATTTATTTATCAATAACCGTTGAAATTTTAATAATGATATAAAAACTGTACAGTGCTAATTAGAGCTGCAATTTGAGCTGAGTTAGCCCAAACCCAACCCAAAAATGTCAGGTTGGTTAGGGTTAGGGCTGGGGTTGAGGCCTTGGTGTATGCATATTTGTATGTCAACAATAAGTTTAAAAGCAAAAATTTTAAAAGAATGATAACTATGTTCTTTTACATATAATAATGCTAAAACTGAATTGATCTGGAAATAAGAACATTTGGCAAAAGGAAATAGAGAAATTGGGCCAACTCGAACCCAACCCAGCACAACCCAACCTGAAAACTTCGGGTTGGGTTAGGGTTAGGTTGGGGGCTCCACAGCTTGGGTTGCGTTAAGGTTGACTTCAACCCAACCTAACCTAACCCGACTTGCTCCCCTAGTGCTAATGTACACTCTCATATACACACAGTAGCAGCTCTATTCAATAGACAAACTGTTTTACCCCAGAGTGTATTTGCCCAATAATGATGGCAATACCTATCTACTTAAGACCTCACAGGCTGGAGAATCTGCAAAAAAAAAATTAGCAGATTCAGGTGTCCAAGAAGTTTCTGCTTGCAATATATGAATGAGGTGCCTCCTAATTTCATTTCTGCAATTCCAAGGTCCTGCCACTTCTCCTTTCAACCAGCAGATCTATAATCACTCCCAAAAAGTCTGATGAATTAACCAACCTCAGCCCCTGAAGTGCTGCCTATAATTTAGCTCTAGTGAAGTTTCCAACTCCAACTGATCCAGAAAAAAAAGTCCAATGTCCCCTTCATAGTCTTTAAAAGCACCACCAATACCTAATTCTCCAAGATAACCAATACTACAGACATCAAAGTTCATCTTATTCTGCCCTGTGGGGGAGGGATCCATGCTATGTTGGATTTTTTTCTCATTGTTGATGCTGATGCCACCATAGACCAACCTCTGAGCATATATTCTGTGGTAAAGCATGAAAGTTCTTCTCTTTATCTTCTCCCAATAAATAACTCTTGTGTCAATCAGGCCAGTTATTGATACTCTGGCCTTAGCTAAGCAACCTTATCTTAAGGAACAGTAATGTGGACTCTGCAGTTGATAGAATTAAAGTATTGGCTTATGTAGCAGTTACTAGAGAAAACATTTTCAACTAAAGCAGGAAAGCAATAATCTGTTATTGTGAATCATTAATAGAAAACCACATTAATAAGTAAAGAAGAAAAGCGTTTTTGTTGTATTCATTTTTATTTGGCCTGCTTGAGTAAGAGGTTCTTGGGTGCAGTCCTTCATTGTGTAGACTAGACAATGGTACTTTCTATTATTGTCTTCTCTTTATATGCTAAAAGATCTTTTTTATCTGGTCACAATAATTAAGTCAGAAGAAAGAAAGAGACAGTATAAATCCAAAACCTCAACAAAGGCAAAACCAGAGAATAAAGAATCAAAATGTTACACATAGGTTCTTTTTTATTAATTGTCATGCATATTTATCAAAAAAAAAAATTAATTGTTATGTATAATGTATACATAAGAGAAGTAGAGAAGGGTTTCTGGATGCTAGTTGTTTATAGATCCTGATTTTCTATATTTGTATTCTCTACTAGTTTTCATTCAATAATTTGCTTATACTCTTTTTGAGACTCTTTTGTGCTGTTCCCATGCTTCTGGGCAGTGTTGCATAGGCATGGACATGGGAATCAGAAGCCAATGTGTGTCCAGGAGCCTGACTTGGCAAAGATGGGAAAACATGGACTCGTAGAAATGTATATGGAAAAAGTATATACTATCAAAATAGCTCATATTTTTTGGGTTCTAACTATATATACCCCATTCTGATTTATATTTTTCTTAGAAGAGAGAGAGATTCTGAGGCTTAAGCCTCATGAATCAGAATATCCTACCATCTCGCCTCATGCCTTTGCCTTTTAAAACATTAGGTACCACTTTTGGTGACCTCTCAAAATTTTTAAGATGACTGCCCTCCACATTTACTAAAGTTTGGTGATGGATAGATACACAGAGAGGGGGGATGGTATTGTATGACAAGATCTCTTATTACAAAGTACAAACAAGGAGAAAGAATATAAAAAACAAAAGTTCAAAGATACAAAGATTCCTGAATAACTCATTTTCTTTGAAATTCAAAGAACTATGGAACCATACCGCATACTCCCAACCATGTCTTTCAGCAAATGCCCTTGCTGCTTCTTCACTATCGAAACTAAGTCCTGCATCACCAACATTGGCATATGGGTCCCCTGTGGATGTCCAGCCCATTAATGGATTTTCCCACCTAAAAGTGCAAGTTGATAATAAGAAACAGGTTATCACATTATTAAGAAATATGGTCCAAGGGAGTATTTAAAAGTACTACAATATCTCAATTACAAATTTAACTTATGTTAGTAAAGAGCCTGTATTGTGGACCCAGATAAAAATGCCATTTTAGAACAATGGATCATCTTTCAAGACTCAAGTAACCTCTAATATATTAAGAAATATGGTCCAAGGGAGTATTTAAAAGTACTACAATATCTCAATTACAAATTTAACTTATGTTAGTAAAGAGCCTGCATTGTGGACCCAGATAAAAATGCCATTTTAGAACACAGATCATCTTTCAAGACTCAAGTAACCTCTAATATTGCCCTTTTTTGGTGAAAACCTCTAATATTGCCCATGTGTGACAATTGGCAAGCATTATCTGATGACAGGCCAGCTATATCTTTTCTTTCTTTATTGGGCCTATTATGCTACTTTATTTTTTATATTGTGTTAGTGCGCTGTTAGAGTGTTTCTTTATTAGGCCCATGGGCCACATTTCTTTATTATTTTATGGATGCCACCTCACCATGGTTGCAGATATAATTTATTCTTTATTTCATCTTTAATATAAAAGATACTGGGGACTCTCATGACCACTGTTACTTGGAGTGGGTTGCTCTCCATTCTTCTCTTCTTCCCTCTTCTTCTCTCTTGCTACAACTCTCTTTTCTCTCAATTCTTATTTTCTGCACTAATTTTAGAGAGCTTTTATTGCCAAAATTAACCTACTTGACATCATAGCAGATCCTTTTCTTCTTCCATTGAGATAGACCCATGTACGTGGGGCTTGAAGGTGCTGAATTGCTGATAAGTCTGGTTGATGTTGCTTGGTCTTTTAAAGATTTTTGGAGAGTTGTTTGAATTAGTTTTTCTGCCTAGAGAAGCATTCTAAGGTGTGCTGCCTAACATCGAGAGAATACTAGACTGATTAGTCTGCTTGATGTTGCTTGGTCTTTTAAGATTTTTGGAGAGGCTTTTGAATAGTTTTTTTCTGCCTGCAGAGGTGTTCTAAGGTGTGCTACCCAAAATTGAGAGAAGGCCAGAGAATTCCGACCTGAAAGAGGTAAGGTGTAATAGAGGCATTCTAGGATTGGCACTTGGGTTCTGTTTAGCCCCTTTCTCTTAATTATTGAGATTATCAGCCACTGGAACCATTTCTGGAGAGCCTAGTGTGAGAAGCACCTAGTTCTCCTTTATCCCAGTGGTGCGAGGGTTGATCAACCCTGAGAGATATTTGTGGCTTGTATCCATTATCTTCAAAAGAGTGTTATATCTAGATTTGTTTACCTTCTTGTCTTGTTGTGAAAATGATGAATGTCGTGCAAGAATTTGATACGCATATACTGATAAATTCATAGGGTAAAATTTATATAAAAAAAATTGCACATGGACATGTCACTGCCATTTTAGAAACCATCCTCCCCCCACCCACAATGAATTCATGAAGATATCTCCTAAAGCTTTGGGCATCACTCAGAACAAAGAAATCAAGACTAACCAATTCCACAACGAATTTTTTGAGGAATAGGTCTTACATGGGATTTTCCACATGATTTGGTGAATCAGATGATATGGAAAATTTAAAAATCAGAATCATCAAATTGATTCCTCTAACCAAACATCCTCAAAATCATCACAAGAACGAAATGCAAAATATTTAATTCAACTGAACATGACTTTTTAGCCATACTTAAATTCAACTTACATGGAAACTGGCCCTTTCTGGGTGAATGTAAGTGATCCAATCTCGAAAAATATTCAGTTCTCCACTCATAGCCAATTGGTGCTCGAGGGAATTAGGCAACTAGTACAGTATAAACTAACTAATGACAATTTTGAATAAATAAAATATAGAGGAGTCACCAGGTAAACTAAGTATGCCAATTGTCATGTTCAATATAGATTATTCAACCCACCCCAACCCCAACCTGGTCTGCCCATGATGGGTTTTAATACTGGAATATCATACCTGTTAAATTAAATGCCATTAGAACTGCTTACCACCATAGTTACACACACACACAGCTTACTTTTGATTAATTTTTCGATATATACAACTAATTTATAAAAGATAAAAAATTAAAAAAAAAAAAAAGCTGAAGGCCATAGAGCTTACTTCTGGGTTGACAGAAAATTAATTTTCCACCTTCCAACTTTTCCAGAACCTTGTTGGGATGCAGTTCGAGCAGGTGAATAAATTACAACCTGCCAAGCATGAAAGGAAATGAAATAAACCAATTGAAGTAAAAAAAAAAGGAAATAATCAAATAAACAAGTAGGTCTTGGTCGCAAAATAAGCATGTCTCAGTACTTATTGACTTGCTATGATTAGGGATTAGGATATAATATCTTAAAGTTCAAGATGAACTTGAATAAATGTTGATTTAGATAATCTCTGCATTATCTACTAAACATCTAGACAATTAAAAATAAAAAACTTTTCCAAGCAGGCATACCGCATACTGGTTTTTGATAAATAATATACACTTGTAATTAGAAAAAAAAAGATGCCTTATTTTATAATAATGATGAATGGATGATAATTAAGAACATTTTGACTACTAATATTGTTAAGAGTGTGACTGATATTGTCCCTTCCAATGTCTTGAACTCATGTTTCCATGAGCTTCTAGAGGATTGGGGTAGAGGACTCTATAGAGTTGTTATTGGCTGCATGAGAGAACATCTAATGGGAGATTGAGCCATTCTATTAGAGGTCTCTGTCACCATCATGAACATCTAGCTCAAATAGATCTCGAGGTTACCCAATTTCATAGATAATGGGCTTGCCAAGGAAAGGATGTTAATTAATGAGTTATTATTGGGTTTTCTATGATGCCGTGCTTGTATCTATTTTGCCTCTTTTTATCAGGTTGGGGTTTGAGACCTTGAATTTGTTAGGGTCTGTTGCTTGGCCAGTTATTCCTATTATGAATTTTCTTTTCTTTGGGACCATTAGCTTTTATACTTTCTTCTATACTATCTTTCTAAATGAATTGTTTTCATATTAATGAAAAATATTTCTAGTTCATGATTTAGCTGCCACTCATCAAGGATTTGGTGCCCAATTATTTGACTAAATAAAGATTTGTCTCCAACTCTAAAAAGAAAAAAAGAAAAAAAAAAGTGATTTGAGAAGGAAAAATAGTGAAGTCTATGAGAGATGTACAAAAATCTCATAACCCAGCTTATAATATCCATGGGGGAGAGCTCAATCAATTGGAAAAGAATTTCTTAAATTTGTATACACATGTCTCCCTAAATCAACTCTATTGCGGTCAACATAGCTGCAAGCTCTTGATTTTCCATTAATTTCACGAAAAGTGCAACATTCTTCCCACTGAAACTGATAAAGTATTTGCTCAACTTCCGTCCCATACAAATATTACTTCCATTATAACCATATTTCTCAGTTTCCCGCATATCTGAGGATGTAAGTTACTTGCATTTGAACTTCCGTGAGTATAATATTACAAATACCATTTCAGACTTCAGAGTTTTTCTAGTAAAGCAAATGGACCTGGGGTAGTAGCAAGGTCCCTGGGATAGGACAGTTGCACTTCCACCATTGTCTTAAATTGATGTTTTCTAGTAAAGAAACTAAGCTTAGTAAAGTTATTTAAAATATGGGAAGATAATCGCATATGTTGTCATCAGAAGAAAATATTACATGGATAGAAACTAGAATAATCGGTGAGGCAATTGAAAACATGATGTGGATATTTCTATCTCAACCTATTTAGAACATAAAATCACGCCTAAATAAATAGAATTGCAACCAATAATCATTACTGAGAAGTTCACGGTTCTAGAACAAACTTCGAACCCTAATGACACAATGCAGCTAAAACTGATAAAGGAGAGATGAACCTAATACCTGGACTGTGGGAATCAGGAGGCGCTAATAAGTTTTATTTTGTATAATTGACGAAACAACATAATCCTTCTAAGAGATCTAGAAGAACAAAAAGGTTGTTGTGAAAAAGTCTGGTAAATGCAAGAATCAGACAGTAATCGTACCCTCCTTCGAAGATGCTCTTCGGGGATTCCTGAAACGACTCCGACCTCTCCGGGCTTGACCTCCACCAAAGCGTCTGCGGAGAACGATCTGGGCGCTGAGATAAAAGCAGGACGAAGCACACGGGCAGAAGAGAACCCCCGTTGCAGAGTATTTGCCATCTCCAACAATTACTTGTTTCTCCAAATGAATTCCTCAATCGTGTTTCTTTACGATATCAAATCAGAGGGAAGTGCTGCCTGCTTCTACCGTAGCCACAGTGCGCAATGCGCATCCTAACAGCGTATCTACTGTTTAAGGCCTTTTGGGGAGGGAAAAACTTTGGCTGTATGTAAAAACAGGGAGACTGCTCTGAATGGCATCTCATAACGAGTATGGGCAAAAAAGTATTTACACTCAATTTTTTAGATGAAGACTTGAATTAACTAATGTGTCAAGCTCTAAATAGGGGCTGAACCGCTGCTTTCTGAGCCACTGTGGGCCCCATTTGAGAGCGCTTTAAGCCAAACATAACTTTAGGCTTTAGCCTTTCTTGAACTGCTTTCAATAAATTAGTTTACTGAAAAATCAAATTTTTGGGGGAATGAAAGCATATTTGGGCTTTCGATGAATTAAAAAATAATAATAATAAATTTGGGCTTTTGGGTTTTCACCAAACATATATTCCAAGCTTTTCATGTGGGGCCTATCTTGCAAAGCAAGAAGCCGCTGTATGAAAGCCCTCCCAAACAGATACATTGAAGAAACTCTTTATTCACAACTTTTCTATATAAAATAAATAAATAAACCATTGTTTGTTATTTTTCAATTGAATAAAACCCCAATGAGAAGTTGGTAATAATATTAATGTGATCCAAGAGATTTGAAGACATGGTCAATCTAAGTAGGACTGGTAATTGATTATCCAAATTTGAATTTGATCCCATTAAGGTTGATCGAAATTTGATCTTAGCAAAGCTGGGTTTATAATTATGTATAGTTAAAATTTTATTTAAATATATATATATATATATGATTGTGTATAATTAAAATTTATGGTCTATCTATTAGTAAAGTTGAGTTTATGTAAAGAGTGACTAGTTCAAGTTTCATAATTTATTTTCAATATATTTTGTTCATAATACAAAATTTGTTTACAATTGTGTATAATTAATTTATTAATGCATTCAACATTTGTTTACAATTCAAATCCGATTATAAATGAATCAAAATTGGATTTACTTGATATATGATTCCATCTGATTCATTGTAGTCTTAAATCCAATGGATTTAATATGATGGATGGTCTAAATTGCCCATAAGCCCCCCTCCACATATGCAAGCATGGCCATGAAATTTAATATTGTTAGATTTAATCTTATGGGTGTTCGATTAATTGATTACATAGATGTATACATGCATTTCTTATTTTTGTAAATGAATAAAGTGCATAATTGATTCATTTTATTATGATATGTTTTTGTGTAATACCCTTAAACTGGACACTTATGAGACTCATGTTAGTTTAGAATCTTCACAGCCATTGGATAGATTTGGGAAAATTTATCCTCCTAAGGCTGACACTGATGTGCCGCCAAGTTGGTTGGGGTGGCTTGTCTTAGCTACCAGGAGACCTGGGGTACATGCAGTGTGGGTTTTCTTGAAACCTTGAACCGGACCAAATTCCAATATTGCCCTTGACCTTGGAGATAGATGGGCAAAACTGGAATGTTACACCTGACCCCTAGACTCGATTATGGTACTGCACTAGGTATTGGATTGGGTTGTCTTTGATATATCAATCAGTGACATCTTTTACCAGGTTAAAACCTAGGTATGTTGGGACAGTTCGAGAATTCACCTGAGTGGGTGATCATAGTGACAGGATCAACCCCTTTGTTGGACAAAGTGAATGATCGGAGAAATGCACTTTCTCTAATGGAAACCTAAACTGCTGGCAGCGGATTTCAAATGTGTTTGAAATTTGGTTTTGCAAAATATATTTATATAAATATATATTTATATATTATGGTTTCAAATTTGTTTACAAAATGTTTTAATTCTCAGGATCCATGTGAGTAGAGAGTGCAACACTGTACCTTGCAGCCAAGGGAGAGGTCATCTCTTGTCAGGCAATGTTTGATCATTATGGGTTGAGAGGTTAAGTGTAAGACCATTGAGGGTAATACATGATGGGCTAATCTTGCATTTGCCCACGGTTCTTGGGTTTTCATAAGGTGGCTGGATCAAAGAACCATTTAGTGCAAATGTTGGGCCCATTAAGAGCCCATGGTGATGGATTAAGGGGTTCACGGTCTCCTACAATGAATTCGGCCAGGCCTTGTAACAGAGGCTGGGCTGAACCCATGTGGCTGATGTATAGATCATTGTTAGGGTCCCATGCTATATAAAGAGAGCCAACTGGGTAGCAGGTTAAGGAGCAAGTGAGCACTAGACCTGTTCATGGGCCGGGTAGCCCGACGGCCCAGCCCGCACCCTGGCCGGGCTTGGTCATATAATTAGGCCTGCGGGCCTGACCTCGGGCTTAACACAGTAAGCCCAACTATGTTTCGGGCCGGGCTCGGAATTTGTCAAAAAAGCCCGGCCCGAGCCCGACCCGGCCCAACTCAGTATTATATATTTTATAAAATATATAAATAATATAATATTTATTAAAATATATATTTATAATTTAATATATATATATATATTTTATTCTTTTCTTTATAATTTCAATCTATCTCTCTCTTTATTCTGCTTCAACATTAATAATAATAATAATATAGGCTAAATTTCGGGCCCGGGCCCAGGCTCGGGCTTCGGGCTTTTTATGAGGGCCGAGCTCGGGCCCAAATTGTAGGCCCGATGGTCAGGCCGGGCTCGGGCTCGGGCCTTAAAAAAATTTGTTAATACACAGTAAAAGTCCGGCCCGAGCCCGGCTCGGCCCATGAACAGGTCTAGTGAGTACATAAGCTTAATGGGCCTAAGGCCCAATTCGAACTAGGCTTAAGTTAGTTAATTAAAAGGGGCAAGATCTGATTTATAATCTGATTAGGATTAGCTGAAGGATAAGATAAGTCTTATCCATTTAAGAGTCCRGATYCAAATATCAKATTTGGATCAAGAAACTCTCTCCTAATTAGATTAGGAGGCTGATCCAAAGAAGACTATAAATAGCTGCGAATTCCTCAATTTTACACACAACAATTTGTATAGTTCTTTTCTGTTCTTGCCATCCCTACTCAGTTCGATCTCCACTTATGAATCAGATAAAAAAAGGTTCTTGATATTGTTTCTTGGCTGAAGAAACAATCTAAAGTTGTTTCATTCTTGCCGAAGAACCGTCATACTGATCTTGCTTCACCACACACTATGTCATATTCAGTGGATGCGGGTTTTGGTCTTCTCCTTGGGTGTGAACACCTTCATTGGGAGTTAATGTTACTTCGTATCAGGTATTTCCCTCTCCCTTCCTTTGGTTTCAGATCTGGTCCAGTCTGTTTCAAGAATGATCATTGAAAATGCAGCTTTCTAAAATAGGGAATGCTATTCTCAGATGGGAGAAAGAAATTTTTGAAGTTTCGCCCAACCTTCTTGCAAGGTTTAGCCATCCATATGATGGATCTCTCATCCTTTCATTTAATATGATGGATGGTCTAAATTGCCCATAAACTCCCCTGCACATATGCAAGCATGGCCATGGAATTTAATATTGTTAGATTAATCTTATGGGTGTTCGATTAATTGATTACACAAATGTATACATGCACTTCTTACTTTTGAAAAGTAGTTTTATAAAATTAAAATTTTTCCACCAAAAGTTCTTGTTTTAAATTTTGTATTTTTCCCTCTTACCATGTCTCACATTGAACACTTAACAAATTTTCCTTTAAGCATAGGAACTTGCTTACATTCCTTAAAAGTATAAAGTAGAAAGTATAAAAATATGCTATTATGCAATACACATATGTGTGAGCAAAGTATGCTTCTAATGGTCACAGAAATGCCACGAGATACCTTGGGAAGTTGAATCATGACCGTTAATCTTCCGTTTTGTGATATAATGGTCATAATTTAATTGAGTGTCATCAAGAGATACCATTTAAATTTTAATAATTATCAATCATTAAAATAGTTAATTGTCTATCAAAAAAACCGTTAAAATAGTTAATTGACACAAAATAATTATTTGATTCAAATTCATGACTATATGGTTTCTCTTCACAAACACTTAAAACTATTCAAAGGGACTCTTGGTACTTATAAGAAGGGTGTAAGATAAGATGTTTTTTGCACACGACATACATAGAATTCTTTTATCCTTCTTTACCTAAGTTACCAATTGTCTCGCAGGTTTCCTTGGAAAAATTTCAACTTTGTTGTTTACAATTTCTCATCCAAAGCTCTATTTGTATCCTCCAATTCAACATTAAATTCAATATATTGAGTGGGGCAAATGACATTTGAAAAACATTATCTTTTAAGTATGCCATTAACTTCACCTCTACGGCTCTACCACATGAAGACAACCCAAACTATTTCTACCACATGGAGAAATCCTCTACCCATCAAAATAGCAACCCAAACATATATTCATATTTCAAGTTAGAAGTTAGAGGATTCATTTTTAGTAGATAACAAGGAATTTTGGTCATATTAAGAGGGTGTTTGGAAATTGGCATAGCTGCATATTATGTCCTTGGCATTGTATGAACTTGCCACATCGGTGCTCATGCTTAAAATGGTCATGAACTCTGTTGGTAAAATTTAGCGCAAACGTGCGATAAAACATGATCAGTCACACCAACAGTCTAACATTCACTTCATTAAACATTGATTAAAAACAACAGTAAAAGTAGAATTACTTCTCTATAATTTTCAGATTCATATGTTTACATGTTTATTATTATCATATCCGATATTTGCTAACTGGGTCCAAAGTTGGGCCAATTTATTTAATCTATGGACCAGAACAAGAGCCGATTAGGATTTGGATTCAAAAAAAATTAGACCCAAAACAATGGAAATAAGGGCCATTTACGTTTGAGCATCTGAGTAACACCTAAAGCTTTGCATTCCTTTGAAATCCTGAACATAACTCCAGTATGCTTGTTTCCCTTGTACCTTCTTGGGTATTTGGGAACCCTTCTACTGAATCCATTCGCTCAAAACTTGTTTATTTTATCATGAAGTTTTGATATTAGAGCATTGAGGTGAGATTGTGAAGGCATTCTTATAACACCGATGACTGAGGAATAGTCCCTTACTCATATCTCATACGTCATTCCAACCCTGAGAAGCCTTTCCCGTGGAATCAACATAGTTTTCTCTCCTTGTCTGAAGTTCCTCCTTAGGAAATTGTAGCCATAGTTAACAACCATCTTCCTAAAGAAGGATGATTCTGGCCGTGCCACCACCTCTGCTTCTCCTAAGAGATATACCACTCCTTTATCCAATGCTGTCTGAATAAACTGCATCTCTTCTCCAACTCCATATAGGGATCCACTTACCATTGGGTTCGGAGAATATGTTGATCCAGCAACAACGGCTGTATTGGGGGATGCCGGTGAAAGATGGGGTGGGTTGTTCTGCTGTAGAGATTCCTCGATATGCACTGCTGATCGACCTGATCCACGCATTTTTCCTTCTTTTGACCATAGATCGGAATGTGCGAGGCTCTGCTCATCAGGCTCCATAGCTGCTGTTTCTTCAATAGGCTCACCTTCGAATATGAAGTGTTCATGGCGGACAAATTCTTTCAAGTATTGGACTAGTTGACGCTCAAACACCTCAGGCTCCTCAATGGCGTCCTTGTATCCATATCTTACAACACACCGAAAGATCCTGTTTTCTCTGGGTTCAATTTGTCGGAACAGAAACCTGTCCTCAATGGCAACCTTACTGATTGGAATGTGCTTTATAGAGACAGACACCAACACTGAGTGGATGGATGGGATGTTGGCAACAAAATGGGAAAATATTGGAGGAATGCCCTGCACAAGCTCTGAGTATAGAAGTCCAATTCCAGGCATCCTGTTTATTGTTGGGTTCTTGATCAAATCTCTCACGAAATCACTAGAGACCTTGTTTTTAAGCTCGAACTTGTATCTTTCTTTGTGAACATAGTGCCATATGCCCATCACAATCATCAAGAAAACTGAGAAGGACAGAGGAAGGTAGCCACCCTGTATGAACTTGGACAAGACAGAGGATAAATATACGAGTTCTATCGTACCAAACACCAGAAAGAACAATGCAATCCACCAAATGCTTGTTTTCCAAATCATGAGCATTATAAGAACAACCAGAAGTGTTGTGATCACCATCACATTAACCACTGCAATGCCTGCACCAAAAATCACATTTATCACCTTCGAGTTTCCTTTATTTTGTCTTCCACCAGTAGTACTGATGAATTGGGATGACCTTCTTACCATATGCGTTGCTGATCTTTCCCGTTGTTTTGAAGAGGACTGTAACTACAACACAGGCAACCATGAGCATGTAGTTAATCTCAGGGATGTAAACCTGTCCTTCGTACTTGGCCGATGTGTGAACCACCTTCACCCTTGGAAAACAGCCTAGACTTTGGGATTGGAATATGATCGCAAATGCTCCAGATATCATAGCTTGGCTGGCAATGATGGAAGCAGCAACGGCCACAATAAAGGTTGGCCAGTATAAGGGATCTGTCCGCCAGTGAAACCCAGAACAACAAGTTGGAAAAAGAACCTTTTTTTTTTAACTTGCAGAGATTCCATGCATATTAATTAGCTTTGACTTACCTGGAATAGACTGGTAGAAAGTGTCACCAACATTCTCAGGGAATTTGGTGAGGTATGCTGCCTGACCAATATAGGCAGATAGTAACGCAGGAAGCACAACTCCACAGAAGCTAATCTGTCATTCCATGATCAAATATTTTGAGTTTCCTCACTTGGGTTTAGAGAGCAGGACCCCAGGAGTGTAGGCTAATAAATGCATACCTGAATGGCTCGGACTGAGAAGTGGCCCAAGTCAGCGAACATGGCTTCAGTGCCTGTGTAGCCATCGTAGTTTGGTGAGAAAAAGCGAGGAAGAATATATACAAAAATTCAAAGAGAAAATAACTCAAATAGCTGGTTAATTTACCAGTGATACACAACACAATCCCACCGAGAGATAGCCATCCTTGCTTGCCGTTTCTTTTGAAGTAATCTATAATATATTTTGGATTGAAAGCACGCAAAACCCCAACATCATACTTGAATAAGTTGTAGAGACCGATGCCGCCGATTAAACAAAACCACAAAATGATGGTTGGTGCAAATGAGTAGCCAACTTTGTCTGTGCCGAATTGTTGAACAGCGAAGAGACAAATCAAGATTGCCACGGAAATTCCGACTATGGTGTCTGAACAACGAAAACCCATTGAAAAAAGACAAAGAAAGACAAATTGTTAAGAGTAACAAAAGCCCAGCTGACGATCAAACGTTTATTACTGACTATAGACAAAAAAAAAAAAAAAAAAAATCTGGGTGTACAATGAACTAGTTTTAGTACTTCAGTTGGATGATTTGTTCCCCTTGGCAGGTTGGATTAGCTTGGGACTAGCCGATTAGATTGGGACAAATACAAATATGTAGATGCAAAAACCTTGTATTTTTATTTGTACTCTTTCCAATTGGGTCCATCCCACTGCTCAGCGTTCAGCGAAAATCGACCCCATTCCCAATGGACGAGTTAGACCCACAAACTTGGTTTACAATGAAAAAGTACCTTGATGAAGGGAGTTTGTTGCCTCCTTGATTCCGCCAACTGCAGAAAGCACTGCAAAGAAAATAACAATTTCATTGATTTTCATTTTTTTTCTCTCTTTGCCCATATATCAAGATATATTTACATCAGTGCAAATGACATTCGCATTGCAAATAAACAACAACAACAAAAATAGAGGCTACGCATGGTCCTTGGAACAACACACATAAATAACCAGTGAGCAGGTAGAACAATTTATAGTTGGAAAGGGTGCTGTACAAATTCAAGCTACCTGGGGTCCTGGGCCAGTGGTTTTGAATTCTCTGTCCCAGGCTACCTACTTCTGCACAAAAATAGGTTGGTGGCCTTACAAAGGAGCCATGCATTGAAAAGATCCAATAGAACATGACTCTAAAAGATTGTAGGTTCAATATTGGACCCCAATAAAGGTTCCCATCTGTTTCTGCCTCACTCTATCATGTGGCAAGCTTCAACCCAACAGATTGCTATCACACGACAATAAAACATGGTCAAATTCTGTAATAAAAGCTTCAACCCATCTGTTTCTGCCTCAGTCCTCTGTTTGGGGCAAGCAGTCATCAAAGCATATCACTTCTCTTGTTTACCTAATTAGGCTGTCTTTTTTATTTTTTTTATTGGTAGAATAATTGGGCTGTGTATGGACAGAAACAGAAATTTGAGGGAGGAACTTAAGGTTTTGTGTATTTGCAGTGTGAATTTGAACCGGATACAAATTTTGCACCTGGTTCATTTTCATATTCATTTATTTGCAACTATTTTATGAATTACACTTATCTAATATAAAATTTGTTTTATCACATTTGCACTCATGGGCAGTGCAAATTTTGCATCCTGAAGGCATGCAAAATTTGCACCACCTTCCTCCTACCTTGGTTATCTCTCATAAATTGTGAATCACATCATCTTATTTCCTACCTCACTAGTCACTTCTAGATAAATAATCATCACCTTATCTCCATATTCTCTTTCATATAAAGTGGGGACCATTTCATTTTATTTCTGACAAAAAGAACAACACAAAGTCAAAAAGTAAAAGGGAAAGTAAATCAAAATTTAGACCCAACTTAGCACTGCCATATACTTACTCCAATGTTTGATTGCAATGCAATTTTATTTGCACTAGTACAACGGCATGAGAGTACAAATGAAAAAAAATGTAAATTCTCATTTGATTTTATTTTGGGTTTTACTTTGTTCTGCTTCATGTCTTTAATTTACTTTATTTGTAATGCAATCAAACAAAACATAGCCTAAAAGAATTTGAAAAAAATTGTTTCTCTTAGTTTCTATCAACCTAGGAAGCTTTTCCTTAACAAGATGTGAGATGTCAAGAACTACAAGAGCTGTGACAATGACATGTAAACCTGTTTATGATCGAGTTCGGGCTTGGCTTTTATTAAAATTCTAATGGGTCCGACTTGAAGCCCAAGCCTGTGACAGTGTAAAGTTGGGCCAGAAGCCCAGCCCGTGAACAGGTCTAGACTGACATTGGACCGGCCCACCGGCCAGGGCCTTTTAAGGGTAAAGAAGATGTGATTTCCTGATAGTTGTCGTCTTCCCCATAGTCCATATACATGAGGGTTAGGCTTTCAATTTTACACGAGCATTTGATCTTTGACTCGTCATTCTTGCAAGCAAGTTGCCGTGGGCCAGAGTCCAGACCTCCATTTTCGTAGAACAATACGGATGGATCAACAACCGCAAGAAGAGAATAATCCTGGACTAGGACTCTATTTCGTTTTGCCTATCTATGTGCAGAAGCGTCCAGATACACTCCGGATCTGCTCCAAAGCACAAACAAAGGCGTGTACAACAGGCTACTTAACCAATCATGAGTGAACACGTCTTTGTTTGTTGCAGATTAGATCCCGACCGGCCCAGAACCAATCCGGCCGAATCTCCAACACTTTCGCCTCACACTAACCAATTAGAGAGAGATCTGTGTGCAATGGAACTGCTACGGTATTAAGAAGTCAATGAGTTGGAGCAAATACTGACCTGAGATGCATGGAGTAAGAACTCCATCCCCAATCACCATGGAGGTAGCCAGAATGGTGACAAGAAAGAGCGCAAGTTTAGCCACCATACTCGTCTCCAGCTTTTCTTTTATCCTCTCAGCCCTTCTCAACTGGTTCGATGGCGTGTCGAGCTTGTAGTTAGACAGTTCCCTGTCCTCCGGCTGGTCATTTGGAATTAAGCTCACCTTCGCGTATCGGCATATCAAAGAGTAAAGTGCAAACGTTCCCCCTGTAGAGAAACCAGACACGCACGGTTATATATTAACCGTCTAACTCTAACATCACACAGAGAAGCAAAGTCTCAGCTCTCAGGGCCGGAATGATCAACTCACCATCGCCGTTGTCGTTGGCCCGAATAACAATGAACACATATTTGATCAGGGGTACGAGCAGCAGTGTGTAAGTTATGAGAGACAACACGCCCAGTATGTCGTTGCTGTTGTGGATTATTCCGTCGCTGAAGGTGCTTGAAAACACGTATAGAGGAGATGTGCCTATATCTCCATACACCACTCCTACGCTCTGAAATGCCAAAATCAACGTGTTTCTCCAACCCAGCTGTTACACAGAAAGCATAGAAAACAGGAATTTGGATTAATTTTGATTTTTGGTCCACCCAAGAAGAGAGATAACAACAGCGTGCATGAAGCAAAAAAAGAACATAGACGATAGATATTAGTTCTGTGTTCTGCAGAGAAGTATCACACCTTAGCAGCATGGCTCATCCACCCACTTGAAACTTTTCCGGCTTCTAAGTTGAGCGAGTCAAATCGGCGAAGCTTATGATTCAATGAGAACTTTCGTTCATTCACAACCTTTTCAGGTTCTTTCATCTCTATTTCTTCCACTCCAATAGTTTCATTATTTTTTTCAACTGGATCTGCCATAGTTTTAGTTCCAGTTTATCCTCAACTCAATCTCCTTTCTCTTACGGCCTTATGAGCTCCGGCCGTGTTATTCTTCTGCGCCTTCATCCCATTATATAGGAAAGAAAAAACGGTCCAAATACAACCTGGCTAGATATCCCCAGTTGAGAGGATGGAGGCAGCAGGCACGTACGAAGTTTCCAGTTGCACCAATGTGTGTCTGTTTGGTCAAAGTTCTTCCCGTATTATATATACTATATATAATACTGAACTGGCAATCGGGTTGGGTGGTTCGGGTTCGGGTTGGATTGGTGCATGTTCTGGTTGATTTTCGGGTCGGGTTGGTGAATGTTAGACCTGACCCTAAACATTCGGGTTAGAAGTGACCCACGGGTCAATTTGGCTCAACTCTATCAATTATTAAAAATTTAAAAAATGAAACATGAAGAATTGAAGATGTCAAATAAACTATTAAATGAATTAATCTAAAATTCTAATCTTAAAAAAGAAAGTTTGCAGATTGACTCTTCCTCCAACAAATTTACCAACAACTACAAAAACTATAAAATTAAAAAGGTCAACAATAAAAGTAAAGATTAAATACCAAAGAATAAAACAAACGTAAATAGATGATTACTTATTAGATGGCCAAAAGATATATGCAAATGTTCTAAACTTTCAATAAAAATTAAATAAAAAATCAAAATAACTTTAAGTTCAAATACATTCCACCATTTCTAAAATTGTTCCTCCTAAAACTCTAATGAACTTGAAGCTTCCGAGGATGATCCTTCAAGAATGCTTAACTTAGAAAAGTGCACCTCCAATCCCGTCATTTCCTTGGTCTCATTATCATCAACTACATTAAGTCAAAGAAGATAAAATATTAAAGCATTAATAATGTAAGAAATATATTTGATAATTAAATAAAAATATATATTATCATCTAAATAAATTGTAATGTTTGAAACAAATCAAAATAAAATTTTAACTGATCGTGATATCTAAATAACCAATTGCGAGTAGTGATCAAAGCTTGAGCATTTTCTGGCAAAAGAGAAGCTCTCCATTTGGTTAGAACTCTACCTCCCATACTAAAAGCTGATTCTGAAGCAACAGTAGTTATAAGAATACTTAATAAATCCATTGCTATAAGAGATAGATTAGGAAACCGATACTGGTTATCTTTCCACCAAAAAAGAACATTCAATTGTTGCCTGTGGTCAAATCTATATTCATCCAAATATACATCCAGCTCTGACTTATTTGAATTTAATTGCTCTTTCTCAAAATAATTAAATTCCTACATAAAAAATCAATAGTCATAAGTCTTAAAAATTATAAATATAACGAAATATAAAGGAATTAAATTATATTATACGCACTAAACTTATAGGAATATCGTCATCTTCATCTAAATCAGTTCTAACATCATTATTTTTTTGGGTCAGAACATGGGGACCCTGACCCTATTTTCTCGGGTGGGTTAGGGTCGGGTTCACGGGTTGGGTCAACTTTTTTCCGGGTATAATATATACCTTTGGCCAATCGTGCATCACAGAAGTTGCTGTTTGTTCATTCATTGGTTTAGACAGTCGGATTTTCTATCGTTGCATTGGCATCCGACGGCTTCATTTCAATCTTAGCTCGTAGGGGCACGTGCAAGTGGCTTCGTGTCATCGTGTGGTGTGATGATAATGAGTAATGAGTTGCCCAGTTAGGGTTGTCTGTCAAGCGTCAACCGATACCGAAAATCTGATACCCAATCCGGCATCCGATCCGACAATTCGGATTTTGGATGTTAAAATATGTATCCATTTAGCAATGGATTTGGATTCGGATTTAACTCTATTCAATATCATAAAACTTCAATCCGATTATATACAATATATATTATAATATTTTATATTTATACATACTTTTTTATATATTTATAAAAGAATAAAAATAATATTTTTAATTTGTTCCCTTATTTAATAACCATAGAGTGGAGTTGGATTAAAGCTAAATCCAAAAGATTAGATTCAAATCAAGATTCAGATTGAAATTTTAATAATCGGGTTGAATTCGGATGCAACCGAATTTGATCTGAATCCAATCCAATTACAGCCCTAAGGAGTAGTATCCACAATAAAATGTAGGTAAGGGGTGCAAGTTGAGCAGGGTCAGGTTGGGTTGAGGTCAATCCTAACCAAACCCAATTGTTGAGTTAACTTTGGCTGTTGAGGCCCAATAGCATAGGCTGTTGAGAGTTTTTGGGCTGGGCATGTTCTGGACAGTTCACCTATTTAAACCCATGTTTTGGTTTTTAGTAAAAATAAATTAAGATGTAATTACTAATTTACTCATTTTCATTGTAACGTGACATTTTCAAAAATTCTCTCAACAGCCTATACTGTTGGTCCCCAACAGCTAAAGTTTTTCCCAATTTATTAAACCCCAATTCAAAGTTAGGATCCAACAGTTCATATCTGATTGGTCTTTCTCCACTTCCTTTTGCCCAATATTCTTATTTCCTAGATTCAAGGGTTGAGGTCAATTCAGTTTTATTATATAAATTGGATGCTTGCCTTGGTTTTGGTGGAAGACATAAAAGTTAAATGATTATATACTACCTTATATGAGCAAAGCATTTACCCTTACAATAGTGTTTATATAATACTTATATAACAAATACGAAGTTAAGTTAGATTCAAATTGGCCAATGTTTCAACCCTAACTCTAATCCAAACTTCAAATTGACCCAGCCTAATTTTAATCCTAGGTCTGGGCTAAGTCAGCCCAAATTGCAGCTCTACGTATGTGTTGTAATTGGAATATATTTGGATCAGATCCAATCACATTCAAACCTGATCCAAGAATTGAAACTTCAAATCCAAACACAAGCCGAAAGATATGATATATTCGACTTAGATCAGATTTGGATTTAATCTGAAACCTAAAAAAAATAAATACAATATATTGAACTTTTTTAATTATAAATTTTAATTGGATCCGAATCCTAATTGAGTCAACGAGATTAAATTTGCATTCCATCCAATTATTAAGGCTTAGTTTGGAAGGAGTATAGATATAAGTTTGTAGAGTACAAAATCTTGTATTTTGTATTATTTTCTATGTATTTGTATTGTATATATTTGTATTTGTACTCTTTTCAAATTAAGCCTTTGTTTGGAAAGAGTATAAATGCAAATATGTACAGTGCAAATACATACAAAATATAAGGTTTTGCACTCTACATATTTACATTTGTGCAAATACAAATTTGTAGAGTGCAAAACCTTATATTTTATATTATTTTGTATGTATTTATATTGTACATATTTGCATTTGTACTTCTTCCAAACTGAGCCTAAGGTGCTATTAGGCAAGTGTTTTTGAAAGATCTAACAACCAAAAGACATAGCTTTTATATATAACGATCTTAGCAGCCCAAAGATCGTTTAATTGGAGGTGCATCATTCCACGTGAAGATGAGATGAAAAAGGCGAGAAACTCCATTTCCAATTTCCCGAAATAAGTTCGAATCAAGTTTCTTGCATCTTTTCAGGGTATGGTCTTTCGGTGAAAAGATCTTCTCCCAATTAAATAAAAAAAGACCAAAAAAATGAAATACAAGACTTTAAAAATTCACAGCCCACACGGAAAGATACACCTAACGGGACCTAAATAAATATAGAGATTCAAATCCAAAATAATCGGATTCGGATTCAGAAGTGATGAGGGCGGATTTGGCCCCCAATGACATTGTGACACATGGCACCTCAGAACAACTAGGTGACACCCGGAACCACTCAGGCAACAACTTGCCAAGTTGATGGTGTCCAACCTGGCGGCCTGGCCCAGGCGCCGACCTGGCGACCTACGAGACGTGCTCGCCAACAAATTCGGCATGCATACCCAACGATCCTTGGAGGTTGGCCCTCGATCCGGAAGATGGTCAACGTGCATGGCAGTTACCTCCGAGTATCTCAGACTAGTTAGACACGACCTCTCGGAGATCTCGGGGGTAGTACGTGAGCAAGGCCTATATAAAGGCACCAACCCCAGTGACAACAGGTAGGCAAGTAAGCAAGTAAGCAAATTCTAGCTCTCATACTTCGTGATTTTTAGCTCGCAGTCTACTGTGAGAGTACTAACTTAAGCATCGGAGCGACCTCGCCAGGTTAGCCACCCTGAGTCCTCTGATATTTGGTTCCTTGCAAGTCTCTAAAGAGCAACGAAGCTCATCAATCAGCTCGCCACCTGGTCAGCTTGGCACATCACAGGCAGCCCTGCACCTGGTCAACCCAGCACCTCACAGGCAGCTTGCCACTTGGTCAGCCCAGCACCTCACAGGCAGCTCGGCACCTCATAGGCAGCTCGACACCTAGGTAGCTCCACTTCGGCCTCTGAGTCATCGGCCACTTGGAAGCAGACTAAATGACGAGGTACTTAGCCAAAAAACTGATACTTAACCAAAAATCGATTCTTCAATTGGCGCTATCTGTGGGAAACACTACAAAAAGCTTTCTCATCCTCTAAAAGGCTAAGTCCTCTTCTTCCAGAAAGCTAAGTCCTCACTTTTTAGAAACTAAAACTCTCGCTTTATAGTTTCCATTTTTTATGAACTCAAAGACTATGCAAGAAGTGGATAGCTAACAGACTAAGCAGCTCTACCAACTTTATTTCAACTCGGATAATGCCTCATCAGTCCTCTTCACAAGGTCCCCTCTACAAAGATGAGCTCTTCGTGGCTTCCGCGGGAGTTGGCGGCAAACAGACTGCATGGACGCCCTTGCTGGTCGAGCCTTCCAAGGCTCCCGTGCGAGCTGGCGACTCAAAGTCAGTAGTGCTGCCCCTGTAGGTCGTGCTCCTAGTAGCTTCTTGTAGGAGTGGGTGACCGGCATCACAAGGCTAATACAGTGCAGCCATAGCACTAAGGTACCGAACTAGCGAATACCTCGATACCACATAAGACCCAGTCGCCTCTTCAGCATGGGCAAAATCAAGGAGAGTGGACTACGAGTCTCTCCCAGAGCCTAAGGG